TTTTCGTTCTGGTGTAGTGGTGGTCGAAGGAGCGCCACGCTCCGGAAGACCTGTCGTTGAAAATTGCGATAAATTCGCTGAATTGGTCGAAAGAGCTGGGCATGAATCATCAAAAAAAAATTTTATGAACAATTGAAAATTCAATAAAAAATACCCCAAAAATACCGCAAAGCTTTTTTGACAACCTACTATATACGCTTTTATAGCTTTTTCTACATATATGTTTTCGGTTATCCCTTTTCTGTTTTGTTTTTGGTTCGGTAACTTTTTGCTAACCCAAAAATAAAATCATATTTTAACAAAATTAGGAGTAGAATACCGTGGGGTAAACTTTTAAACCAGCATATCTAGGTCAGATCGCTTTGCATGATGTAGTGATATAGCCGGAGGAAGCTCTTATGTACAAGGAGTTTGTGATAGGCACCTTTCTCCACTTCTGAGGTCCATCAACTATTTGTGGCCAGGAGCGGTGACTAAAGTCTTCGTTTGAGGTGGAATCGGACCTCAAGCACTTCTTATACAAATAGTGTTGCTTAAATGTTTCGTTTGAATAGTAGCTTTTCCCACTTGCACTTTAAATGTAGCTCGAAAAAAATGTATTTGTTTATATTTAGTACTTTATTCAATAGAAAAATCTGCACTTGTTTACACGAGACAAAGAAATATTAAGTGGGTCTATTTCAATGATCAACCGAAAATGCTCGTGATTGTCATAGGAATTAATTTTGGCTTTTCGGCACTCAAGTTGCAAAAACTAAATTTATCTTTTATGTGTTTTTTCTTTTGCCTTTTGCTTCATAATTTTTTGCTTATCCAAAAACCGGAACAATTTTTTAACAAAATTTTTCAAGAAGTTACTAATTTAAACCAACGTCACTGTTGGAGTAAAGATTTGGTAATGAAAGAATACTATTTTACCCAGACTTGAAACGCGTTTCTTGCGACACAAAGCCGAACGCTGTACGCTCTTTCCTTGAAATCTATCAAAACAAAGCCTAAAACATCTGTAGTAATAAAGCAAATTTCTAATATTTATTTATAAACTGTGATATTGTTGGCTTCAGCATTAATAATCCTCTTTTACTTTCAACTCTTTCGCTCTTTTTTCATTTAAAGCCAAAAAGCCTGGAAGCCAAATCCCAGCCGAATATCACGCAAACCCACAATACGACACTTCCACTGTCAGATTGAATGCGATGAGCAGTACCTCAGGCACGACAACCCCACCCATCGTGGACACATTGAAGCTGCAGCAACAATACCCGGATCCACGCCCCTACGGCAACACCTTCGATGTAAGCGCACCGAAACATGAACACCTCACTGAGAGCAGTAAAAGTAAGCAACAACAACAAACGCAGGATACAACTATCTCCAGCTCCACCGCCAACAGTGGCACTAAGCCGTACACACACGCCACCAAATCCTGGCAGAAGAAGAAGACCTACCAACAGCAGCAGAAACAAAAACACGAACAGCAAAAACAACACCAACACAAACATGCACACGAGCACGCCGCATACTATGCCTACCCGCCGTCATCGTCGGTGTCGGCCAGCAAAATTCTCAGCTTCCCGGAGAACTTGCCGTCCGTGTTGTATCACGACTACCGCACCGAGGAGCATCAGCACCATCAACATCAACATCACCAGCAGCACTTGAAGCATCAGCAGAAAAAGCTACAGCTGCTAATGCAACAGCAACAACAAAAGCGCAAACAACAAATGCTACAGCACACACACGGCGCGCGGAAGGGTGGCGAGCACCACCCACCACAATATCAACACGACATTTTTGCGGGAAAACCGGCAACAGCGAGTGCATATGGCTCATCGCCGCCACTGTACACCGGCAGGGACGGCGACAACTTGGAGCTGAGTGCCGACTGGGGCTTGGTTGGCGGCAATGAAAATATCTACGATGATGTTGAGGCCGACAGCGATATACTCCCCGAGCCGCCGACAAAGAAACCGAAAATGTCAGCCGCAGCAACAGCAGCAACAGCGGAAGCAACAACAAGTGCTGCTGAGCTCGTAACAACAACTGCTAGTGGCAACATGACTGCCAGCCAAACACAGCTGGCCGGTGCTGTTGGCGCACAAGCGGCCGCACATGTGGGTGTGCAGCAGAGTGACAGCTACGTCGGCGGCAACGAGAAGTCATTAAAAATGAATGCTGCTGATGCGTCGTCGCTTTCGCTATCCGCATCGTCCCCCACTTACTTCACGTCAACGGCAACATCATCAGCTGCGGTTAACGCGGCCACACCAGCGAATCCAGCGTCCAACAATATAACGGTAAGTGCAACATGTATGTAGTACAACTCTATTGCGTTGGCGACCCGACCGGCACGTGAAAGAGGCGACAGATAGCTCCATCCGCAATGAAGTGAGTGACTATGTGGGCGCTCGGGCTTGGTGTTCATGTAATGCGACTGCGAATTATCATAGGGACAGCTCATAAATTCTTAGCATTTGAAGTGAAGTGGCTAAACTTTGTGGCAATTACGCTCGTCGGTGCAGTTTGGCGAGTTAAGCGCTTTAATAGATAATGTCAATTGCGCTTCGTTTGAGCACCGACTTGGGAGTGTTCATTCTGAATTTTGCAAAAGTTCATAGCTGATCACCTTACGGTGCATTGATGCATAGCGATAACACTTTTCGTTCATTAAATTATCATTAAATACGGAAAACTTCTACTTTGGTTTTATAACTGCACTTAAGCCCATAGGGGCAAAGAACATAGGTCACTTCCTTCAAAAATCCAGAAAATAAAATTCCGTCTGTCTCCTTATAGAAAACAGCTTCACTAACTTTCACCTCTTCTTCAGCGATTTCTCATCCACGTATCCCCCGTCGGTTTATGAGTAGAGAACAGAAGATCACGTGTAGCCTCTGTGACACAGGTTGCAAGCACTTAGTTTAAGAAAGCAGCTGTAGTTCAGTTTCATCCATCATTGCATATAAAGTTTCATTTCGGCCTATTCTCAGACGGGAATACATTGAGCTACTAGAAAAAAACAAGAGAGCATAAGCTACAAGACCTTAATCTTAAAAGACTTTACCCTCGACGAACGCGAGTGCTACGATGCCATAGATAAAGGTTAACACAAAACTGGTCGAAAAAAAGTATTAGATATTTCGCCTGGATCGCTCTTATTTCAATTGAAAAAGATAAAGAAACTATCGTATTTTATGTTCTGTGGCTAATCCATTGGAAGGAGGCTCAACTTGGACTGATTAAAAAATTGATGGCAAAATCCAAAAAATAAAAACTTTATTTGAATACTAAATCTTGACAAGCCGCCTTGAACATATCAATTATTTTGCAACTGCGAAACATCCATGAAGGAAATGTTGATATGATTCCACATCATATTTTTCCAAGAAATGTGCCAAACCGCGTGAACCCCAATGAAACAACTAAGAAGAAGGTGAATGGTGCTGAGGGCGAAGAGCTAAGAATCTTTTACTATTTAACTTTGAACAGAAATATCTAAGGATTGTAGAAATGCTAATAGCTGATCAGAACTCGCTAACTTAAGTGTAAACTCTTAAACAAGTTATATTAATACATTTTCAATTTTTAAAACTCTTTTAAAGATAAATCCACATCCGTCTGTCTCTTGGTCTGTTTTTATATACGTATATACTGGTCCATCAACTTTTAGGTTATCAATCTGAAATTTTACACTTTTTGAAGCTGTTCATTTGTCGGAATAGCACTATAGCATATAGCTGTCATACAAACGAACAAATCAAATTCTTATATAAAATTGTTTGTATTTGTGAAGTATATTTTAGCTTCGGAACCTCCAAAGTTAATGTTTTTTCTTGTTTTCTATCAAAACAGTGTAAATAGCTAAAGACTTAACAAATAAAGCTTTCCAGCGGCTGATATCAAAAAAAAAAAAAAAAAAAAAAATTCGTTCCCTACATCGTTGTGAAGTAATTTGGCATAAAAATTTAATATCTTTTACAATAACAATTAGAGATGTAATCATTTTTTCCTTGCTTGAAGCTAAAATAGCAATAGCGCTTTGCAAAAACTCGCAAACGATCACACACACTCACGGTACATACCCAGCTGCCAGGCTTCATCAATTTCATTTACGCTAGATTGACAATAATGATAACGGCAAGCCATAATACACGTTTAGCAGACGGACGGAAGGAAGAAAAACGTCAGCCTTCATTTCCTTTTTTGGCTGCCGCCGCCGCTGCCTTTGCACAACCAACTCATAACCATTGGCTTAATATCACAACTAGCCGCACACACACATATACACGCTCGTAAGCAGCGAGCACAAAAACATGACCAGCAACAGTGTCGGCATTTCGGCGGTAAACGGCGGAAAAGTGTAATGAAAATGGTGAAAATGAGGCTTGAATTCTGCCGGCGCAGCGACGTGTTGGTGCGAAGATCACAATCTGTGATGGCACTAAAAATAAACATTACACTTGGCTTCTGATTAATTGAATGAATACCGCAACGCGACTGACAACGTCAGCAAAGTTTGGCGGAGAGGCATTATGAGTTTTCCTTTGAGTTGGTTCAGGGTTAATCAGTAGTTATATAATTAGTATTGTCGCAAAGAGAAGGAAGATATGAAATTTGTGTGTGAAAGGCAAAGGAAATGGCATCACTGAACTCACAATCCCAAATGTAAACACCTAAATATCATCTACCTAATATTTATTTGATTTTATGTAAACAGTTTCTTAATTAAAGATATATTTTAGATGATTCAGGGTTTTTCATTAAAGTTTTTACTTAAAGACAAATTAAAGGAATTTTACGTCATATTCTACCATTTGATTGACTTCTAATGTCAACTTCAAGAGATAAAACGAACAAACTTCTCCTTCTTTACCAGCGTAGAAACCGCTTACGCGGTTTAGTCGAGTCGTTCTTCTCTTCGCAATGGTCCTTCTCCATCTTGTCTTTCCACCGAAGTGGAGGTCTTCCCCTTCCTCTGCTTCCCCCCACGGGTTCTGCTTCGGGTACCTAGACAATGTCTCTTAAATCGCTAAACTATGCCAATGTCCTCGTATACTCGAAACTCAAATAATTTTTTTTTTTTTCAGTGTATGGAATTCATTTTTCTTTTATTCATGTTAAAGCTCATTCAATTTTATTAAATATAGCCTAATTAGTTGTAAAAATAAGGAATTTAAATGCCCCCCCTGCTCGTGGATGCATATGCGGCATCTTACCAAAGAGTTGTTCATTACTGCTTGGAGAGTTGAGACAGGAATAGCCGGAATGGTTTTTCGAGTGGATTGCCTTAGTTCATTCAAATTTGTTGGTTTTGCTTTGTAGACTTCCTGTTTGCAATAACCCCACAAGAAAAAGTCAGGTGCAGTAWGGTCAGGCGACCTGGGTGGCCAACGGGATGTGGAGTTTCTGGATATCAGCTTATTGGGAAGTTTTCGTCGCAATTCTGTCATAACAGGTTGGGCTATGTGAGGAGCTGCACCATCTGCTGAAACCACACAGAGTTGAAAGAAATTCTCATTCGGCDYMATTCTGGATAGAAAAACTCTCTCAACATGCTCAAGTAACGGTCTCCAGTAACCGTAACGGTGTGACCGTTTTCTTCGAAGAAGTAGGGCCCGACAATGCAGCGTGATGAAACTGCACACCACACTGTGACACGAAGTGGATGCAATTCCATCTCATGGAGTATCTGTGGGTTGGAAGCACTCCATACTCGACAATTTTGTTTGTTTATGTTGCCGTTTAAATCGAAATGGGCCTCGTCAGACATGAAAAGACAGTTCAACATGTTTCCATCCTCTTCCACCATTTGAAGCAAGTCTGCAGCATTCAGTTTGTTGGCCATCTGAATTTTATATTGGAATAAGTCCAAACCTTTGTGCATAATTGACTGTAATGACTGTCTGCTTACACCCATTTGAGCAGATAAGCTTCTTGTCGAAACACGTGGATTGTTTTGTGTGGCAGCAGCTACAGCAGCGATTGTTTCCTCCGTTCGAACTGAAGGGTTTCGATGGTAAGGTCTTCTGTTGACTGTCCCATGCTCGGCAAAATTGTTTACAAGTTTCATTATGGTCCATCTGCTCGGAGGATTGCCGCCAAACGTGCGCCTATACTCTCTTTGAACCGAAACTACGGACTCCAGTGCGTGATAGCGGCGGACAATCCAAATTCTTGTTGCAGTGTCCCAGTTATCCATTTTTGTTAAATGTAAAAGTCAATCTGCAAATAAAAAAAAAATTAACCAGATTCATTAAATAGAAAAAAAGTTATTTAATTTTTTTTTTTTTTTTGGTAGCGGCTTTCTCAACCTCACGTGTTACACATTGGCCCGAATAATACCTCAATTTTGGTTGATAACCAGTGCTTGACAAGCATATTGAACTCTAGATCGCAAGGTGACAGCCGACTACCATCACGATATTGATTTGTAAAAATTGGGGTAAGGGTGATTTTTTTTATCAAGTTCATCGACAGCTTCCATCAATTCCCCTTTGGCTTGGTACCCAAACAAATCAGATAAGAAGACAATTTGATGCTACTGAAAAAACTATCAGATACTCCTTGAGTATTCTAAAGCGCACTGCCAGCGATCTCAACTGAATCGAAGTGACGACATACTTCTATGAAAGTAGTTAGGATGTTTAAAGTGAAAAATTAATTTAAAAACAAGTAAGAAAGGGCTAAGCTTGATTGTAACCGAATATTTTATACTCTTGTTTCATGCAAGAATCAAAATCCGAGAAATCCAGGCGTAGTATTGACCCGATTTTGCAGTCGGTCGTTTACTCAGATAAGTAGTTCCACCTAAAAGTAAGCGCTGCCACGTCCATCGTAAAATTTTTAAATCGAATTTGATAAAGCCCTCTCAGCCCTCTGAACGGACAAACAGATACCAGATTTCAACTTCGAATGAAACAAATCGTTTTTTCGGCAAAATTTCTCTCTACGTCTGCATAAAGCTTTGCTTTCTTGGCAAATGCATTTTTCCGAAAAGAAAGAGGTCGCATGCTGCCACATCAGGTGAATATAGGGAGCGGTTAATGGTTAAACTGTGAGTTTTGCTCAAATAATCGTCCTTTGAATGTTGGTTTTGACAATTTTTGGTCGTCAGTCAATTACTGCAGAACAAACAATGCACACCCCTTTCGAAAACCCAAATGTTCGGTCAAAATGCAATAAATCGATGGTTTGGAAATCTTCAATGTCATTTCCATGAATTTCAATTATGATTTCTGATGATCACGGATTTGATTGGTCCACATGTTGATCACCATTTATGGCCTTACGATCACTT